ACTTGGAAAATTATTCGAACTTTTATCTGTCTACATTTATAAGAAACTAATATGCTATATACCTTCCGTCCATGTGTTAGCCGTAGCTTTGGATATGGTCTGATGACATTATCAACGCATTGTGCAACCAAAGCCCAGTTCTGTCAATATATAAGAGCGTACTAAGAAAAAATTTGTATTGATTTATAGGAGACCAACACCGATTATTGAATTGAGAAGACAGACCTTCTCTTCTACATTGCGGTAATGCACAGAGACGCAGAACTTGTTGTCTTCCACTTTTACTCCTTCGATATCCTTTGTACTCTCTACAAGTGAACAAAGCACCTGAGAAGATCATTTCAAGAGTCAACCGATCAATCAACAGGTTCTTTACTATGGTTATGTATATACATTAGAAGATTTCTATCAAATACCTTATCAATCATCGGTAGAAACTCGCTAGCAGGCTGGAACAGATTAACATCTTTCCCCTGAAATTTGCCAAAATGACATTTCAAGAATCTGATGAAGAAACTGATATCGCGGTGAAACGAAAAAGCACGAATATAAACCTTTTCGTTAATTGATAGAGTACGGCTAAGATGTTTGTGATTTAAAGTTTCTCCTGCAGAACTCATGATGTCCATTCCATGGCTTCCGGCGTAATAAAGTTCACTCAGTCTAACAAACTCATATACCTGATGCAAAATAGATTCTTTACATTAGAAAACGTTTTTGATGAAGAAGATGAAGATAAGTAAAGATTACCTTATCGCGGCTTCTTCCACTAATGATTGCAGTTGGAAAGTACTTGGCAACATTTTGCACTGCACTACGCATCTAAACATGTAAAAAAGGCGTAAACTGGATGATTCATTAGGTGGATGAAAGCACAAATTGATTTGTTTTGGAAATTTAGTGAAAAGATAGAAACTTACAGCATCTGACATGTATGCGCAATCAGGTTCCTCAACGATAGGCGAAAGTGTCCCGTCGTAATCAAGAAACAATGCTATTCTTTTACCCTTTGCAAAACTCATGATTTTTTCAAAAGAAGTAAGAGCTGATGGATACTTGAGCTGCTAAAAAAGATTACAAGACAAAGATTACAAGAAGATTGTCATATCATAACAACGAAGCAATGTCCAGAAAAACAGAGAATAGTAAGGGACAGACCGTCCATTCGCGATAAGTCATATCGGTGGCATCGCTGCTTATGTTGTCTTTATTAAGTATTGTTGGAGGAGGAGAAGAAGATTTCATTGCATCAAGCCAACCATTAGACTTAACATCATCAAGGATTCCGGTTTTCTTTCTAGGAACGGTTAGCAAAAGATTGTTGTTCTGTGAGAGAGCCGTGGCTGCTGATGAGTAAGGGATTCTGTTCTGACGAATGGTTAATCTTGAGCTGCTTATCGGTGGAGAATCAGTCATAACAGGAGACGAGTGACCAGATTTTATGTCCATAACA